AGGTGCAACCTATACGGCAAACAAAACGGTATATATGTATATTTATATACATGACAATTGCACGCTCCCTTTAAACTTGCATCATCTGTGGCATTGTGCTGTGATGAAACTACACACCTTTTGTTGTGGGCAGCCTAAAGCTCACCTGTGCATCAATCATGCTGTCTGATCAGCATCTTGATCTGCCACACCTGTGATATATACGTATACGTAGAAAAAGTCTTAATCGAGTTCAGTTCATGAAAAATGGGCCAAAACAAAACTGTTGTGTTTATATTTTTGTTCAGTGTTTATAATGAATATGGAAGCAGCCATCTTGGATTTTGACCTGGCAACCCAATTTTCCAACAAACTTTCTTACGCCTGGAAGCAGCCGCTCACCTTCATGGAAGTCGGTACTTTTCAAGTGATCAAGCAGGAAGTGATGGGGATTTCCAGTTCCCCTCCTTTGTTCTGTGAAGTGGGACAAACTGAAGCCTTGTGGGTCTTTATGAGCCCAGGGCAGCAGGAGGCTTAAATTAAAAAGCTGACTAATTGTTAGACTTTGATGCTCCACAAACGTGTTGTCAAGTTTAAATGAGATCCGAGGATTTATGTTCGCTCGCTGCCAAATGTGGAAGAGTGACACTGGAGTGTGTTCATCTGCCTGTTAGCAAAATATCCCGTGAAACACTGAATGGGTTTTATTGAGACTCACAGGAAGTAATAACAGAGCACATCTACAGCCGATTACCCTTTGGAGTCCACCTGATCCAAGATGGCTGCCACATGTAAACAACCTTAGCCAACACAACAAGACTTGGTGGTTTTGATGTGGTTGTAGCTGAGAGTCATTACAACACAAAATATGAGGGCTGAACTTTGGATTACTGACTGATGATGACGACCAGCAGCAGGCTGGTGGGGTCCAGCTCGATGTTGGGGTTGCTGAAGGTGTCGCAGAACGTGGTGTAGATGATCATGAGGAGGACGGCGCTGCTGATGGCGCCGAACGGAGGCTTCTTCCTGTCCAGGA